TGCAGTGGTGGTGGCACCATTCACCTCTCCATCACACAAAAGAAGGAAATTAATAATTTTTTCCTGGATGCTTTTGATATGGACACTAGCTCTCTTTCATCAAAGCCAAAGAACACCTGGAAAACCACTTCAGAGGATTTCAAATGATCTCAATTTATCTTCAATACAAAGAACATTAAAATAGGAGAAACTGGCTGGGTTGAAATGTGAAAATCAAAAAACCACACAAAACCTTTGCTGCAAAACTCAAGCCTATGAAAACCCTCACCTGTTGAGCTTTTAGGCTGAAAAAGAGGGAACTTCTACTTTCCTTTAAGTTTGTCAGCATTCACTGAAACAAGAGCAAGCTCAAGAAATATTTTCTCATTGAATTTCTGTCGCAGTACCAAAACCTGCTGAAAACCTTGCAAGCAGAAATAAATAAACTACAGTTAACTTCTGGAACCATGCTACCCCAAACCAGCATTCAGATAACAAGGCTTTATTCTCTTTAAACTTAGGAGAAAACTCATCAAGATTGCCAGCCTATCTCCCTGACCCACGTTTGTTGGAATCAGAGAAGCAATCTACATGTTAGACATTTCTCTGAAATTCTCAGCAATCAACCATCTCTGAGAAAGAAGCTGTTGGTAAACTGTACTGTTGGCAATCAAAAAAAGATACGAGTGGCTACAGGCTCTCTGCTCACTAAAATCATCAGTTCGGTTGGCCTCTTTGGAGCGGAACATTCCCCCCCTGCCCCTCAGAATGGGTATTGCTCCACCAAATCCAGAGAATTTCAGGCATTTATAGCATTTACTACAGCCAGATACCCTCAGATAGCTTTACAGGTTTAATATACCCTACAGTATGCAAAAACACATCAGATATCTCATCCTGGAAGAGGTGTGAATACCATCTTACCTTCCCTCCCCTTCCTCATTCATTAGGACTGGTTTATTTTTTGAAATATAAGGTTTAGATCCTTAGAAAATTCCCTTGAGAGCATCTACCTAGTAATTTTAACTGTGATGGTCTCATTCCATTCACAGAAATGGTCAGGTTTTGGGTTATTCTGCATAGTTGGTTCCAGTGCTGCATTGTAAACGTGAAAAAAATACTGGAGTCAGTGGGAGATTTGCACATGGCATCGACGTTTCTGCAAGCCAGCTCCCTGTATGTGAATACGCCTCTCCCACCCATTCAAATCTGCTGCTCCTCAGCGTCGCTGAATCTTGTTCCAAGCACAGAGGAAGAGCAATCTTTCCCACCCCCAAAGAAGTGATCCAATCCCCCCACATGCATTATCAGGCATATGTATACCATATTCAGGGGGTTCTCTGATGTACTCATAAAAACCACACAATTCCCCCATGAAGCCGACTGCCTAATAAGAAGAAACCTTCTGCAAAAACCTCACCGCAATGTGTTTTGCTGGAAGTTAAGCAGCCTTCCCATCCTGCCTACAGCAGTTAGAGAACAGATTCAGCCTGCTTACCTTTCACTCAGTGGAAGACTGCCCTTAGCAAACCCTACCCTTCATCTTTGATCGCTGGATTAAATAAATCCAGTCCCCTCAGCTAGGTCCAGAGTTGTTCTTCTTGCTCTCCTTTGGTCTCCAGTGTGTTCTTCTTCCTTAGTGCTCAAAGCTGGGATCACCAATGCCTACCAGAGTGGCATGATTAATTACCCCCGTGTCTCACGTGACTTTCCTGCTAATACATGCCAGAATAAAATTAGTCTTTTTTTACAAAGCACCAACTGTTGAATCATATTCAGCTTGTGGTCCGCTAAAGCCTCCGCATCCTTCTCTGCTATGCCACTTCTGAGCTATTTCTCAGCCTTTATTTATAAACCTGCTCTGTTTTTCCTCGCTGTCAGAACAGTTCTAGGAGAACCTGATATACCTTTTCTGGACTTGTAGGAAGAAATGTACCAACAGTAAATGCTAATTCAACTGCACAAGCCCTGAGAGAAACAAAGAAGACGAGTGAGACCTGAGAGTTCCCTGAGAAGTTGGTTCTCCGACAGCATCTGAGCAATTTGTCACTGCTCCAGAAATTAACCCATAAATCCCTCACATGTCACGACTATATGCATGGGTTTTTTCTGATCAATGACAGTTTGTGGAGCTGCACAAAAGTCATTGCCAGCAATCTCCAATTGCTGCTCTGCTTTCGGTTTAGCACCAAGTAGAGCCAAATGTCACATAACTGGGACCAAATCACCATATGCTTCTGCTCTGCCACCCAATGCCCAGCTTTGCCATCACTTCGTGACATGGGTGTGACGCTCCACCCGATCCCAGATTTTAACTTACAGCAACAGAATGCAAAAGACACATGCTCAATAAAGATTAAACTGAACATTTTGCTCGCTGCTTGGAGCTTGGTAAGATTGAAACCCATAGAAAGAGCTGTTATCTGCATTTTACAGAAGGGATTAAGAGAAACAAACCCTGATTTGGCCCCTTAACTCCAGACACCTGCTTGAAGTGCTTCCATTAGAAGCCTAAAGTGAAGAACAGATCTTCTCCCACATGTGCCACACTGCTCCACGCACACAGAGATGTACCCAGCTGCACGCCGAGGGGTGCAGCAGAGGCTCGTGCAAGCTGCTGCAGTGACGACTGGTCAGCTGGCACTGCCACCTTCCAGCCACGCTGTAGCCAAGTTGGACACCCTGATGATCCACTGTCTCTCCCCATTAGGGCACGATGCCCATCCCCACGCTGCACAGCCTCCACCTCCTCCCCTCTTTCCCCACCAGCTGACGTACTGGGCCTTGCCCTGTGCTGGCTCCATTCAAACATTGCATTTGCAAGACCTACTGGGTTTTCTGGTGCCTTGAAATTTCAATTTAAACAGACTGGGGCTTCTGTTTGCAGCAACATCTGAAGTGTTGTCATTAGCTGAACATTGGAGTTACATGGCATGCTCACTGATGGGGTGAAAAAGCCTATTTATTTATTTTATCTTAAAACAGCACGGGCATAAGATCCCACAACTGCGTATGGACTACAAACATCCTGGCAGAAACTCCCAAGAGCTACTCTCAATCAAATATCCAAACCCAGGATTAAGTCCATCCCATGGGATCCTTATGGAGGATGTAAACAAACAAGCCCTGCCAGCTAGTAAATTATTACTGTGAACATCCGGAATACTCTTACTTGACCTATTGACATTTTCATAAACCCTTTGAGGGTGAATTCCCTGTAGTACCAAGGAAAAAAAAAAACCAAAGAAACAGACTTCTTTTTTGACCCCGTTCCTGGTAAATGACATCCACAATCCGAGATGGCCTTTGCTGAATCCTGGCTTGGTGAGACACAGCAGTCTATTATTTGATCCCTGTGGGGATAGATGAGGCCTCCAAAGAAATTCTGTCAGATGACTGAGTAAGGACATCCCTCAGAGAAGATACAAAGTGGATAAAAACTACAGAAGAACAGAGATCAACTGATGGTGTGGGAATAGGAAAGCAAAAGCAGCAAGGGGAGCACATATGCTCAGAGAGGGGAAAACTGACAGCCCTGGGAATAAACTCCTATAGCCCTGCTTGCTCGTTGATGTGTGTAAGTATTCTCCATGCTGAACTCTGTGTGTTGTTGCTCACAGCCATTCAGCTCAGAAGCCACTCAAGCTTGAAAGATATTCCTTTAAAGGGACAGGAATGGCGTGTCCTTGTCCTGTTTGATCTTGGCCTTGTTGTGGAGTCTTAGAAAACCCACAGAACCAGAGAAATATGAACATGGGACAACCACACAAGTGTCTTCACTTTTTCTTAAATACAAGGCAAAGGAGAACATCAGGTCTCTACCACTGCACTGTAGTGGTATACACTGTGCTGATATCCACTGGGTCTGGATAAGAAACCTAGCAGGCACATACGTATCAATAATGATCTTTTACTACCACTTCCTTCAAAAATACCACGGGTAGCTAGAACTCAGAAATTATTTTTACTTGCTGTGAGATAAGATAGGTCTTATCAATAAATAAATAAGAATGTCAGGTCTACAATAATTTGTAAATATTACATGGAAAAAAAACATCCCAGATCTCTGTATCACTTTAAGTTGCATTATCTTCACCATATCAAAAAATGGTTTTGATCAAATTTTAAGACATACCATCTCATGAAATAATGGAAAACAGATTTCATTGCATATTTTCTCCTGGATTACTTAAATTACTTTCAGAATCTCAGAAGCCATTCCAAGCTCAAAGTTTTGTTTTATGCATCTTTTTTTTTTTAAATTTTATTTATTATTTCAATTATCCCTGGACAAATTAATCCCTGATCTCAATCCATTGGCTACAGTTGTCTAAGACAGCGGACAGACTTGGCGCCTGCAAGACCAACAACGGGGAAGGCTCTAACACAGTAACAGACAGTACCGAAGGCAGAAAAACTATTTGAGTCAGTTTCAAGCTCAAGCTAAAAATAGAAAATTCAAATTAAAAGGTCCCAGGCTAGATTCTCATGCTCAAACCCAATAATTTTAAAAGCTGAGACCACTCAGGGCCTCCTCCCGAGAGGTACTGAGTGACCCTTAACGTCAGTGAAAGTTACTGAGAGTTGAAAGAGCTCTGAAGCTCACAGGGTTGGGCCTTCAGCAGGCCAAGCTCCTACTGACCATCTAAGAAACAGACTGCCAGCATTACCCACTCCTGCAGGGGCTCAGGGATCCCCCCTCCAGCAAATTCCAGTAAATGCCAATTGGAATTTACGCAGCAGCTTTCAGGACCAAGTTTCTAGTCTGAAAAATCCCTACTGTCCCAGCAGAGGTGACAAGATAGAGACGTTTCGGCTGCTGACATCCTCACACAGGACAGAGGAATCCCCAGGTCTTCCTATTATGAGCTGCTGCCTCTTTGCCAGTTCACAAATTTTTAAGGGGGTATAAACCGTTTTTCAGGTAATAATATTCTCCTGGCAGTATTTTTGCTCTGTCACAAGGTTAGGTGCACAAACAGCAGTCACTTTAGATATAACACTGAATATAAAATTCTTACCTTCTCCTTGTCCAACACAATCACATGATCCTGGCTTCCTTTTGCATTTTCTTTGCCCAACATCCATCTCTATGGATTATCCCAGGAAAAGCAAATTCTGTATTACTCATCTGGAAGGAAAAATGGAAAGGAGTTATTAAAGATACTGGACTCACTTCATCAAATGACAAAGAACAAATTACTGGCTTTGAGTAGCTGTAAGGTAATAACCAAGAATGAGCGACAGCTTTGTGGGCTCTGCAGAGCAAAGCTCAGGGCTAATGAGTGGATGAATTGCCATGTTGCAAAAAAAAAAAAACAAACCCACAAACATCCTGAAAGCTGACACCTGAAAGGCAATCTCAGCAGGGACTTTTAAGAGGGTGAATTTGTGAAAGACCGGGTTGCCAGTGACACTGAGGCACAAAAAGTGCATCTTGATAACTGAATGTCTTTATTCAGCGAAGTTATCAGCTGTGGATCTTGCTAGCTGTCTTGATTTTATGCCAGATTTTGCAATATTGTAGGGAAGAGCTTGGAAAAATGACCCAAGGGTGCCCTAGGGACTCAAAAATCAGAAAACAAATAAACCAAATTGTAAATATGTTTTAATCTTACGATTGTTGCACACCCGTGATTGCTGAAAGGTTGATATTCTAGAGCAATTGGTACTGGTCATGCTGCAGAATGATGACAGAGATGCAGATCCTGCCCAGTATGAAGATGAAGGATTTTCAGTCTCCTGCAGAAATGCAGTAAGGGTCAATGTTCATTACACATTTCAACTGCAGGGAAAACCAGAGTGAGTAACTTTTCGTTCTACTCCTGGTCGGTTCCACACATTAGTCACTGGAATGAGGATGCTCCGGGCAAGATTTAAGCGCACATTCACACATTGCTTCACAAGAAGTTCCAGGGGATTGGCTCCATCGCTCAATGCTGCTCTCATCGCGCTATAAGGATGCCCAATTTCACCTGAAAACCTCCAGACAACAACCGGCGGCCTTGTGCTGCCCTCTCACGGGCTGCAAACTGCAGAGCAGCAACACCTCTGCTCGCTCAGACCCAGCAGCCACAGAAGCAGTAAATAGTACGGAGGGTTTGGAGTGTTCCTGTCATCATCAGCTGGATTTATGGCATGATGCAGTGACTGCACAACCACAGCCAGTGTTGTGGAAGCTCTGTCCCGTGCTATAAGAAGGTACAGGGCTCACAAAGCAAAGCTCCCGTGACCAGAACTACACTGTTGGGTGACACTGAAATACCGACCAGCTCACAAGCACACAGCCCTCGGTGCTCCGGGTTCACTCGCCTCTGCTCCATCATAACCAGTGGTCTCACTGGCTCCAGGAACTGCCACCCTTGCTGGCGAAGGCCTGGGGGAGTAAACAGGAGAAGAGGGAGGGTTACACCATACCCAATCCAACCCCAAGTGCTGAGCTGATGACCCCAAAGACTGAATCTCCTGCCTGCCAAGTGAAGCGGCAGTGGTCTAACCTCAGAGCTGGGCACAGCCCTGGCTTGGCTGGGATTTGGAGCACAAATTCTGCTCTGTTAGGTGGAGGGGAGCTGGAATTATGGGCTCTCATGAACCTCCTCACCCCAGTAAACCACCTTTGGCCTTTTGCTGACATTGCCAACAAGTGTCTGACTTTGTAAACCAGCACTGACAGCAGGGGTCTGAGTCGCATACTCACAGCAGAGAGCTGAAAAACTTCCACACAGCTTATTTCAGCACCTCTCGCCTTGAAGAGATGACCAAAGTACTTTTAAAACACCACAACAGAGCAGGAATGTTATCCCTTTATTACCCCAAATTATTTGGGATACTCAGTGAGTTTCCAAAATACTTATGCAGAGCACGGCACAGTCCTGCATACTACTATATGAAGTAATTAATTCTTTTCTTCATTTAAAAGCCTCATGGGTTTTTTTTAAGGCAATCCCATGATGCGTGGGGGCTTGGGTTGTCAGCTTGGAGTGCTAAAATGAATTCAACCCCCGTCTCAGAAAACACAAGGATCTTTTAATTAGGAAATTTGGGGGTTGTTGTATTTGTCTTCTCACATGTGAAACTTTGGAGTACGCAACCAGCCCCCTTTTCTTGCCCAGTTAAAGGGGCTGGAAACTCACTGTCCCTTTCCAGAAATAGTCTTGATCCTCAGGCATGATGTGACTCCAGAACAGAGGCGCTAACGGAGGCCCCTGTGCTGGCCCCCTGCCCCTCTCCAGACACAGACCTTCTCCGGGGACAGACACCTCCTCCCTGTCCTGGCTCCCTGCCTCACCACCCCCTTCCCCAGCGCTCCTGTCCCAGGGGAGCTCTCTGGTCCCCCACCCCAGTCCCTACACGGCCTCAGCCCTGCTTGACCCGCCTTCCTGGCTTGGCTTGCCCCATCCATCCATCCATCCATCCGTCCGTCCGTCCGTCCATCCATCCATCCATCCGTCCGTCCATCCATCCATCCATCCGTCCGTCCATCCATCCATCCATCCATCCGTCCATCCGTCC